TCACTCCTCAGTGCTCTCCTCCATCCAGGAGACCTTTGGATACTCGGAGAAGCAAATGAACTTCACTTCCCACCTTCCCTCCCCCGCCCCCCCGCCCCCAGTACCTTTTTTCTATAAGGCTCTGGCCTCAGTTCTCAGCCCCATGTACTTGCTGGCTGTTGAATAGCAGCAATTCAGAGTGAGGAGAATACTGCTGAAAGTCTGTGGGCTCCATCGTGCTCTCTCATCTGTCTTCCCCATTCATCCCCATCAGATGGTTTAAGCAGCTTAGAGGGCTCCATAGCAGGAGTAGGGGAGAACTCTGGCTGTCCTGGGCTCAGAGCTGGGCACAAGATCATTCTATAGGAAACCTTGTGGGAATTCCTCTGGGACAAGGCATTGGTTATTGGTGATCTCAGCTGTGTCTGAGACACTCCCATTCCAACTAGGGCCTATCTGATGTCAATAGGAAGTAAGGTTGATGCAGTGGGGCCAAGGGAGTTTGGGATAAGAAAGTTCAAGAGCCTGGCTGTCCTGGCCCACACTCCACCCTTCTGGCAGGAATCCAGTCCCTGAAGGAGGTGGGCACTGAGTGCTAGAGGTAAAATCTTTGAGTTTACTCTCCAGACAGCAGGGGGAGGTACAGAAGCCCACCTGCTTGGCACTTGTGAGACAAGCTCTATTAGGAAGCTGTCTGTGAACCTTTGGCAGATTGGAGCCTGGCCTGAATCTGCCCTTTGTGCAGCTTGGGTCAAGGTTAAACATCATGTCACAGTGATTCCCGAAACACGGAAGGCTGGCCCCAAGTACTCCACCAATGGATGTTGACGTTGTAGAGGTTAACCTTCCCCTCCTGCCCGGTGGTAGTTGAACTACTGATGTGTACCAGTCCCTGCGCCTCCCACCCTATAGTGGGTCATGGCCCTGTGCTGACACAGAGTGAAAAAATAGACTGCCTTCTCTAGGACAAACCCTAATTCCAGCCCAAGTAGGGTCCTGGGATTAAGCTGTGCAGTCGAAATATGGTTTTACTTTAAACAAGAGTCTCTCTTCAGAGTCCCTTATCCTTTCCTGGCCTGTGGCCATGTGCCTTCAGTTGCCCCTGGTCTGTGGTATCCTTAGAGCTACATCCAGTGCTGAGGTGGCTGTAGATGGGCAGCAGAGAAAGCCAAATGATTCTGACTTTGCCATCTTCATCCATAGTGTGCAGAACCAGGAGCAGTGACTGGTTCAGTGCACGCACCTGCTGGGCAGCTATATACATCAGTCACAGGGGGCCAAAGACAGTTGGTTTCCAAGAGCTACCTCAGAGGCCATTTTTCAGAGAAGCCCTGGGTTCCTCAAGTGCCCTGTGTCCATGATGACCCATCTTTCAGGACGAGCCTGTGGAGTGGGAGACACCTGACCTTTCCCAGGCTGAGATTGAGCAGAAGATCAAGGAGTACAATGGCCAGATCAACAGCAACCTCTTCATGAGCCTGGTGAGTTGACTGCTCAGGAAGTTGGTGTGAGGGAGAGGCAGGATCCCAACTCTGTGCCTGATGCTCAGAGGGTCACAGGTCACGTATTCTTGGGTGGCCCCAAGCAGCAATTTATGCATACCCAACCTAGCTCCAATTGGACCAATGGTACCCTAGTCTGTTTCGTCTCGCCTGGAACTTATTGTCATGGTTTGATTTCTCTTTCTCTTTAGAACAAGGATGGCTCCTACACAGGCTTCATCAAGGTTCAGCTGAAGTTGGTACGCCCTGTCTCAGTGCCCTCCAGCAAGAAGCCAACCTCCTTGCAGGATGCCCGGCGGGGCCCAGGGCGGGGCACAACTGTGAGGCGCCGCACCTCCTTCTACCTGCCTAAGGATGCTGTCAAGCACCTGCATGTGCTGTCACGAACACGGGCACGTGAGGTCATTGAGGCCCTGCTGCGCAAGTTCTTGGTGGTAGATGACCCCCGCAAGTTTGCACTCTTTGAGAGGGCTGAGCGTCATGGCCAAGGTGGGCTTCCCACCCCATCCCTGTGTGAGGGTATATATGTGTGCCTCTGTGCATGCAGGGGCTGAGGTGGCTGGGCCTGTCTCTGATCATACACACAACCCCCACCCCACCCCACCCCACCCCGGCCTTTAGTGTACTTACGGAAACTGTCAGATGATGAGCAGCCCCTGCGCCTGCGGCTCCTTGCAGGGCCCAGCGAGAAGGCCCTGAGCTTCGTCCTGAAGGAAAATGACTCTGGGGAGGTAAACGTGAGTACACAGTCCACCTTAGTTTCTCAATTGTCACTGGACAGGGCTGACGGGCTGTAGCTACAGTGAGGCTTGGAGAAGGAACCGGGCTGGAGGATAAGCCCTCCAAAGCTGCTCCCAGAGTGTATAGGCTTTGTAACTAAAGTGAAGGCTTCCAGGCCATTCGTGCCAAAGCCTGGAGCCTGTCCCCAGAAGCCGGGAAGTCTTGGTGTTTTGCTGTTTCCTGATGTGAAAAAATCCTCTGGAGATTCAGGAGTGTATTAGATGGCCTCATGACCCCAGACCAGATCAAAGCTGTAGGTGGGCCCATGACAGCATGGAGCCCCTCCTTTAGGCATTAAGATTTTTTACCTGGAAGCTTTCTGGCTCCAACATACTGGGCTTGTGCAGTTGGATTAAACTCAGAATGTGGTCATAACCTGTCCACAGGAGTTGGGGAACATCTGATTTGGTTGTCTCTCAGTGAGGTGACTCTTTTGTAGGGCCTATCTTCTATACAGGCTACTGTCCAGGATGCTAGCACAAACTACTCAGGCAAAAGCCTGATAGCAGAAAGCCCAATGCTAGCCTGTGTGACCATGACATGCTGGTCTTCTCTGGTCTGAGGGAGGGTCTGTTGTCTTGGCCATCCCTGATGCAGCCTGTGCATCCCCCATCCCCCTTTTGCAGTGGGATGCCTTCAGCATGCCTGAATTACACAACTTCCTGCGTATCCTGCAGCGGGAGGAGGAGGAGCACCTCCGCCAGATCCTGCAAAAGTACTCCTATTGCCGCCAGAAGATCCAAGAGGCTCTGCATGCATGTCCCCTGGGGTGATCTCTTGTAGCCCTAGGTGGAAGGAGGAGAGTAGGCATCGCCAAAAGCGTGCCGTGTGAATGTGACAGGGCCCGTGGGGCCTGAGGAATGAGTGTGCGTGGAGGCCCTTCTCTGCTGGGTAACAAGCCCAGAGAACAGTGAAGGAGCTGGCCCCCTGTGTCCACCAGTGGGTGTAGCAGAACATGGCTCTGCCCCTCAGGTACTGGGTCATGGTGGGCTGGGGCTGCCCTGGGAAGCTTCTGCAGGCTTGCAGCAAGGATGGAGCAGACAGAAATCTCCTTAATTTGTGTTCTCAGATATGAGAATCTTGGAGACCCTACAAACAGAAGTATATTGTTTGCAGGGGTCAGGGCCCACATCTATGGGGAAAGAAAGGTATGTTTTGGGTCTGGGGTGGGGTCTCAAGGTAGCCCTATCGGAGCCAAGGGTGGGTGCTCAGAATAAGGCAGGCATCAAGGAAGAGTCTTGGTTTCCCTTTTTTACAGTGCCCTCTGACTCCTCATGCACTCTAAGGTCAGTGAGTGCTGGCTCACAGTGCAGCAACAGTGCCTCAATGCCTCCTGCAAGGAGGATGTCCCTGGGCCAGGGTCTGTGTGAGTGTGGGTACTGGTCCAGGTCAGTCAAAGCCAGGGTCCCTCCCTTGAATATTTTTCATGATGTGTGTGAATGTATGTAATGTTTTATGGCCTTAGCTGAATGCCTCCTGTGGGGAAAGGGTGGGGGTACAATCATCGTCAGGGCCTGGGGCCTGAGAAAATTGGCTGAATAAAGATTTAATAATCCTTCTGCTTTTGGACTCTATTTTTTATTATGGGCCCACAGCTACAGTTGCCCCTCATGCCAGTAGCTGCCAAGGGTGATGGGCAGGTTCACAGGGGATTCTTTGCAAAGTCACCATGGGACCAATTTGTGAAGAAGATGTAATATGTGTTATGTACTCTGTCATCATTCAGGTTGTGGTGGGGGCAAGCAGAGCCTGCAGCTAGAGCTTAGGGAAACCATTCCCTCAACACACACACCAAGCTTTGAGAGAAGCTGTGGCAAGACCCCTTCGCCAAATACTTAATGAGCTGCTACTGTGGATCAGACACTGCTCATGGCACTGAGGGCATAGCTGTTAACAAGTCTTGCTTTCATGAAACATGCATTCTGGTGGGTTTGGAAAGAGCACTGAATATGAAATTCATAAGTCCTGAGTGTCGCTGTATGACATTTGGCCAGTTCCTTAATTTTCCTTAAGCTTGGTTTCTTTTTTTTTTTTTTTTTTTTTGAGACAGGGTCTCACTTTGTTGCCTAGGCTAGAGTGAGTGCCGTGGCGTCAGCCTAGCTCACAGCAACCTCAAACTCCTGGGCTCAAGCAATCCTACTGCCTCAGCCTCCCAAGTAGATGGGACTACAGGCATGCGCCACCATGCCCGGCTAATTTTTTCTATATATATTAGTTGGCCAATTAATTTCTCTCTATTTTACAGTAGAGACAGGGTCTCGCTCTTGCTCAGGCTGGTTTTGAACTCCTGACCTCGAGCAATCTGCCCGCCTCGGCCTCCCAGAGTGCTAGGATTACAGGTGTGAGCCACCGCGCCCGGCCTAGGCTTGGTTTCATAACACGAGAATCGCGAAAACATGGTTGTGAAAAGAGAAGGCAGATGGGTACACCTGTGGCCTGGCCTGTATCAGCTTTTGAAATGCTGGTTTGGGCACTGATAATTGAGTAGGCCCGCTAGGCCTGAACTCTGGGGGTTGAGAACGTCGGAGCCGCAATATACACGGAAGAGATCAGGAGGACACAAGGCCACCACTTTCCAGTGTGGGAGTTGTTCCAGTAGGAGAGAGCGTGGCCTCCTGGTACCTAAGGGTCTCGCAATGCATGCTGGGATACCCAGCGACGGGTGGCCATTGGCCCCGACCCAAGGACTGACGAGGGCATCAGCCAATCACAGGGGGCAGCGTGCGGAAGCGGAAGTGAGGTTTCCGTGGAGACAGCTGAGCCTGCGGAAGGCGGCGGCGGAGGCTGCACCTGTGAGCGGAGGCTGGGGTAGGGGATGGTGGCGCCGACTGAGCTGTGAGAGCCGAGCGGCAGCGGAGCCAGCCATGTGCCCGCGGCCGTGACATGGGCGCCAGCGGCTCCAAAGCTCGGGGCCTGTGGCCCTTCGCTTCTGCGGCGGGGGGCGGCAGCCCAGAGGCGGCGGGCGCTGAGCAAGCTTTGGTGCGGCCTCGAGGCCGAGCCGTGCCCCCCTTCGTATTCACGCGCCGCGGGTAAGGGCGTGGGTTCCGCCCCGGGGAAGGCAAGCGGGTGGTCAGGCGCCCCGCGCCACGGGGTGCTTCTACCGCTGCACCCCCTTACTCCCGAGCCAGTACAACTCCCATATTTCGGGTCCCCATTGGAGCAAGGGGTAGGGAAAGCCAGGCAGTCGACTTCTGGCTTTCTGGCCACTCTGAATGTCTCCCTAGGGAACAGTGAGCCTGAGGCTTGTCCCTGAGCAAGGCTTCCGCACGGTAAAGCTGAGATAGGGCCTCCATGACACCTTAGGATCTCTCCCTTTCATCCCTTCTGGCTCAGCCTGCAAATTGAAGGCTCCTAGCCTCCCCTTCCCTCAGTTCTTCCAAGGGGTTAATAACTCTATGTTTAGGCTGCTTCCCTTCCCGACAGTGGTAGAGTTGGACCTCTGAGAGTAGTTAGTGGCTGGGAAAGCAGGGCTGAGTCCCAGTGTTGGTGGTGAGGGTGAGAAAAAGACCCTCATCTAGTTCTATTCTCCAGATCTGGAACGCTGACCTACACCCCTTCTTCTCCCAGGGGTCAAGACAAGAGCACCAGATTAACCTGGGCTTAGTGGGCTTCTGGGGATGGCATTCTCCATGCTAGAGATTTGGCTGTAGATACCAGGGAGACCCAACAGTGGCAATTTGTCTGCACCAGCCACTTGGAGGGAATACAGCCTGCCTCCCTTTAGGCTCTTTCCCAGCAGAGGCATTTACTATTTCAGTCTTTGGAAGTGGGGCCAGCAGTGTCTTCTGGAGTAAGACCAACATACAGCATACCCAGGCCACCACCCTGTCTACTCTAGAAGTCCTGGGTGAAGGCAAGGGCCTGATACTGAAATGGCTGCTCATGCTGAACAAACCAGTGATGAGAACTGGCCTTGGTTGCCTGGGTTGTATGCTCTGGTGTGGCCTCTCTCCTTAGGCATCTGACATAGTAGCATTTGTCATTACCCCATTACCCAATCTCTTTTAGTAGACCTCAAACCCCAGACAAAGGATTCTCCACATATATTGTCCTTTCTTCTTCCAACCAAGATTGTTTCTTCCCACTTGGGGTTGGGCACACTTCCCTATGGTCTGTGGCATTTGCCATGACCAGGTATGGGGCTCCAGCCCAGCCTGTTCCCCTCTCCCTCTACACAGCTCCATGTTCTATGACGAGGATGGGGATCTGGCTCACGAATTCTATGAGGAGACAATCGTCACCAAGAACGGGCAGAAGCGGGCCAAGCTGAGGCGGGTGCATAAGAATCTGATTCCTCAGGTGAGGGGCTGGGCAGTGGTCACAGAGCCTATATCAAGTGTGTGGAGGTAGACCCAGATGGGATCTGTTGTCATGGTGGGGGATCTTGCGGGAGGAGCTGGGAGGAACAGGAAGGCTTCCTGGAGTAGAGGCCCTGAACTGACCTTCACTAGCCTCTGTTTCCATGGCAGGGCATCGTGAAGCTGGATCCCCCCCGCATCCACGTGGATTTCCCTGTGATCCTCTATGAGGTGTGAGCCTGGGAGGTGGCAGACACAAGCACCCCCTGCCCCAGCAAGAAACCCCCAGGCTCAAGGTGTGGCTTCCATTGAGGAGCCCAGGCTGGGGCCACAACCCAGAATAAACTCCGTTGGCCCAGAACCTTCAGCTGTGAGCGGGGTCAGTCCCGTAATACTGGTTGGATGTTGGTTTCTGTGTGGACAAAAGGTGGTTAGTGGCTGGCAAAGGCTAATGGCAGACTTAGCAGCCCATTCTCCCCAGCCACCCCTGCAAGAAGCATGGCAGGGCATATACCCATCAGGAATGCCTGGTTCCTGGTTCTTTGCCTGGCCTGCTTTCTTCCAAGTTTGCCTGGGGCCCAGTCCTGCTAGAGGCTACAGCACTTTATAAGCAAGGTCTGCCTTCTTCCAGCCCCTGGGCTGTGGGGGCTGTACATAAATGGAAACTTCCTTTCTTTCACTTCCCTTTTATCCCCTAGTCAGAGCATTTCAGCCGTTTGCTACCTCGATTCCTTCTGTATTGGACAGAGGCTGAGAGCAGTGCCAGCCTGATTCTTCCCACTTACTTGCCATTTGTTCCCACTCTCAGATGGATAGACAGACAGTTGGCTGGCTGTTGATAGAAGTGGAGACTGGTGTCGGAGGCTTCTCCCTCCACCTAGGGCTAGTAGGCTGATCCCCACTACAACTAGTTGATGACCTCTCTGCCCAGTTGAGAGGGTACAAGCTGGGGTCAGATGGGCTGTGGATGCTTGCGCCTATGGGGAGTTACTCCAACCCACCTATTCTGTCTAATCCCCCATGCCTTGCACCAACAACCCCCCCCCCCAGTTGGGAAGGGACTGTCCACCACTTTGGGGTAAGGGACTATACCCTAAGGCTGGTGCCAATAGCTATGAGTAGCCCACCACCCCTTCAGGATCAGTCAGGGGAAGTGCTGGAGCTCATGGGTAGGGACAGAAAGGAGGGCAAAAACCATAAAAGGAATACTTAAAATGTGAAGGTTTGTAAATAGTCTAGTCAATGATAATGTTTGGTCAGAGCCTGATTACTATATAGAGACGACTTTTTTTTTTTTTAATTTCTTACTGTGCAAGCTCTGTGCTTCTAGAGTGTGGGAAATGGCTTGGGGAAGGTGGTCCCCAGCCTAGGAAGACTGTTGTGTTATTTGTTCAATTTCAATAAAATTATTTGTAGATCCTGCACCTGAGAGTGGCATCTTCTAGGGCTGTGACACCCATTGTCTAGGCTATCACCTGGGCTCAATAAGTAGGCCTGGGCCCAAGACTTTGATGGGTCTTCCATGGCCAGCAAGAACAAGGTAAGCCTGAGCCCAGCTTGTAGCCATCCCAGCTGTGGCCAGCAGGTGGCTGTGTGTGTTCACACAGAGGTCACTGCAAGCCCCCTCAGAATGGGAGAGACACTCACTTGTCTATTATGTTCAGTGTGGTGGGGAGCCCTGGAATCAGAAGGTCTTGGGATGCTTCACTAGGGACTGGCCCCACCTACTTTACCTAAGGTGAGAGTGTGACCCCAGATGGTTCTGTAATATCTGTCTAAGCCCCTGCATTGCCAATGGACCCCTAGTAAGGTCACAGTCTAAGGCCCATAGACCTCAAAGGCCCAGCCTTAATGGATAGCAGCCAGATAGGTGTCACCAGGTCCTTGGCCTACTGCCAGGCTCTGCAGCCCAACTTACCTGCCGCCTCTGAGTCTTGCCTGTGGACACCACAAGAGAGTGAGCTCAGAGCTTCTGTTCCAGCAAACAAGGCTCAGTGTCCCCTGGCCCCAAATACTCCGTCTGCTCTCTGCTGTCCCTGGCTTCTCACCTGCACGGTGCCCCCTGTGGACATTCTGCCTGCACTTCTTGGGAGGTGCTGTGAGGCAGATTCTCTGCCTTTGGCCATCAGCCCAATTCCTAGTTAGGGAGTAGGGAGTTCAGGGACAGGCTTGTGGGTCTATGAAGTTGGCTTGCCAGTGTTTTCGAGGTTTGAACTTGTTAAGTCCAGAGCAGGATCGCTCTGTTCAGCCTGGACTTGAAGTTCTGTGGGATACCTCCCCATCCCCCCAATGAGATGCCAGGAATAAGGTCCCATCATCTTCCACTGTTCCCCCTGCTGGTTGTTCAAGACCCAGGACTCTCCCATAACAGATGACATCCTATCACACCACCACAGTCCCAGCCTAGGGAAACTCCCTGTTGAGCCTGCCCAGCTGACCCCAAAGCTGGAAACAATGGAGGTCAGGGCAGTACTTCCTCACTCCCTCCCGCTGGGCTGTGCTCACTTCCTTCCTGCTGGCTGCCGGAGGAAGTGTCCCTGCCCTGGGACAGTCTGGCCTGGCCTTTGTTTCCCCAGGAGTCCCCACCCTTGGAGCTTCTAAAGCCTCTGGCCCTTGTGAAGCAAGCATAGTGGTATAGGGAGGGACACTGCACTTCCCCTGCCATGTCCTAGACTCCTTGGTCCTCAGGGCCAGACTCCAGGGTATGCACCCATCTTCCCCAGCCCACCACCCAGCCTTCTGTTAGGAGAGAGGCCCCTAGGCACTGGGGAGGTGAGTGGGGTTTTCAGGGTGGGCAGGTTGTCCACACCTCTAGAGAGGTCTACTGGAATGCTACTACAATATTCCCCAGGGCCAGTCAAGTTATTAGCACTTCCTCCCACAGGAACACACCACTTTCCCCACCCATGTTGTAAGGAGCCCCCTACTCTGTACAGTGGACTCTGAAATCCACCTAGGAATGTCCTCCAGCAGGAAAGCATTCTGCAGAACTCTCTCAGCCCCTGTCTCACCTCCCCCCATCCTACAGTTACACTTAAATCAACATATTGTCCTCTCTGTCACATGGGATGCTTCTCTCAGTGGAAAAAAATTGATTCAGTTCCTGGAAGTCCCCCTAACCCTCCTCTCCCTGGGCTGGTTCCCTTCTTTGGCACCTGCTGTGGGGGACCATCAGCTGAACCCCCCCCCCAAGTAGTTTGACTCCCCAAAGCACTGCCACCTGGGCCCCTCTCAGACCCTACAGTTATCCAGGATGGGCCCCAACCCCAAGGGAAGGTTGGGACAAAGACGTTCCCCAGTGTTATGGAAGCTGTAGGCGTGGGGGACACTGGCATCTGAGCCTAGGCCAGTAGCCTTCCTGTCACCTGGCGCAGCTGGTGGGACCAGATCTTACTGGGAGGTGGGGGGGAGAGAGGGTAAAGAGGGCAGCCAGCCAGCAGGGCATACCGGAGGGAAACAGGGTCAAGGCCATCTCCTCCCCCCCCCTCCCGTTCCTAGCCCTTTCCTCTCAGGGGCAGCAGGAAGTGAGGAGAAAGGGCTGGATGGGAGGCGGGAGCGGGTGGGAGGGAATGGGGTTTATCAAATCCTCGGCGGGCTGCCCGATGGGCAGCAGCTGGCGCAAGTAGCCCGGCTGAAGAGGCTAACCCCAGGAAGGAGGGAGGCCGCCGATCTACAACTAGGCGGACGGACTCCCACACAGGTGAGCCCAGCGCAGACGGCTGGTCTGCACCCCCATAGCAGAGCTTGCATCAGCGCACCCTCTCTCTCCTTCCAGGCGCCCAAGTGGGGAAGGGGCTGGCGGTGCAGACGCGGGCCCTTTGGGGAGCTGAGTCCCGCACCGGAGGGAGTGGATCTAGGAAGAGTGAGGAGGTCTTGCACAGGGCTAGCCAGGGTCCAGCTCCAACCATGCTCCCCACCAGGAGGGGCTTGCGGGACGAAAGAGCTCAAGATATGGGATGGAGGCGGGGGAGCTCCTCCTTCTGACTTTCTCCTAGGTTCTGCCAGAAACTTCTGCAAGGGTGGTGGCCTCCTTGCAGCTGAGAGGGATCCCTGGGGGCTCCCAAAGGCCCCTCAGAGGGTGGGCAGAAGACAGGATCCCAGGGATTGGCCCGCCCCTGATGCAGGTCGGGGAAAGGGGGGCGCCCAACCCCCCAGGCTACGCTGAGCTTCCCAGCCTTCAGCCCCACGGGCCAAGCCGCGACCCACAGCCTGAGTTGCCAGGCCAACCACTGCCCAGGCCGGGCCCCGGGAGGGCTGTGAGGCGGTGCTTGGCCCCTTCCCACTAGACGGGCAGGGGGCGGGGCTTCCCTTCAGACTGCGGACCCGAGGAGGGGAACCCAGATTCGTAGGCGGCGAGGGATTACTGTCTGGGGAGGCCTGGGATCGGCTCAGGTCAAAGTCTCTTTTTCCACACAAAGAGGCCCCAAGACTAGAGTGTGCATTCGGGGGTGCCAAGCCAGATCCAAGGCCTCGCAGTCCCACAGCACCTCCTTATGGCCAAGCAGAGGAACGCCCACCTCCTTTAGTCCCTCCCCGCCCCCACTGCCCGGTAGCTCAAGCTGTCCCTTTAAGAGGCTAGCGACGCCGCGGAGCGAGGCGGACTGTACCACCGGCCTCGGGCCGTGGGGGGAAGATCTCCGGCTGATTGGCGCTAGCCGCTGAGACTCCAGCAGGAAGCCCTGTTCGGGGGGGGCTCAGGGCTCCAGATGGGTGGCCACGTTCCTCCGCAGAGGACCTGGGGATCCTCGAGCTCGAAACGCGGCACTAGCGGCGAGAAAGGCAGGCACACCTTCCCGCCCCGGCCGCAAGTCCTGCCCCGGGTCCACCTCCACCCAGGATTCTTAAAGGGCCCGCGGGCCTGGGGGCGGAGCCAGCAGAGGCGCCGAGCCGGGGCAGTGCCTGAGTGAACGGCCGGAGCGGGCTGGGCTGGGTCCGGGATGGCGGTGGCCCTGGTGCGGGTCCGGGTGGCGCCCCGCGCGAGGTGAGGGCGGGCGGTGCAGCCTGGCGGCTCTCTCCCCTGGGGCTGGGCTCTGAATCCCCAGGGGTGCTCCAAAGAGGTGGCCAGGAACCCCACCCCCACCCGGCTCGGGCCCCACGTGCGGGCGGGGGCGGGGACCCGCACAAAGGCCAGGAGCAGTGCTTTCTATCCCGGACCAGCCGGCTGGCGGGGGCGGGCGCGCGCATTCCCGATGGCGGTGGAGGGAAGGGCAGGTCTGCTGGCGCCGCTGTGGGAGGTCCGCTGCCTCTTTGTCCTCTCTGGGGACACCAAACCTGGGAGAGTGTCAGCGCTCAAGACAAAGTCCTGACAGCCTCCCTCTTCTGCCGAGCGAGTGTTATACAGATACTAGCCCCATGGCTGTGTTCCTTCTAGCTTCTTGGCCTCTTCATGAGCTGTGTCCTGCCTTACCCAAATGCTTTATAGTTTCTCTGGATCAAGGGTTCTTCAAGGGGTACAGGGTGGGCCTCAGGGATTCAAGGCTGTCTGAAACCATGTACTGGATGGTAGACAGGCATGTGTGTGGCTCTGGCAGTAGGTACATAGCCCAATTTATCCAATTCTCAGAGTGTCACAGAAGTCAGATTAACTGCTTCAGGGAGGAGCCCTATGCTCCAGGCAGTACTTCCCCAGTGTGTCTTGCCTGCCCTTCAGTGGCCTGTGGTCTTGCAAACCTATTACAGCCATGTGTGTTCTGAATAGCCATGGGTACCATGCCCCACACGGCATGGGCTCTGGGAGCATAGATGGGCTTGAGGTGGGCAACTCCAGGATTCTGTAGATTGACTTGTTCTTTCCCACCCTTCTAGTTCCTGAGCTGGTGCCAGGCAGGTGACACTTCCTGCAATCCCCAGCATGTGGGCAGGCCCAGGCCCCACTGCTATACTGGCCCTGGTGCTGGCGGTGGCATGGGCCATGGAGCTCAAGCCCACAGCGCCACCCATCTTCACAGGCCGGCCCTTTGTGGTAGCGTGGGATGTGCCCACACAGGACTGTGGCCCACGCCTCAAGGTGCCACTGGACCTAACTGCCTTTGATGTGCAGGCCTCACCTAATGAGGGTTTTGTGAACCAGAATATCACCATCTTCTACCGCGACCGTCTAGGCCTGTATCCACGCTTCGATTCAGCTGGGAGGTCTGTGCATGGTGGTGTGCCACAGAATGGCAGTCTTTGGGCGCACCTGAAGATGCTGAAGAGACGTGTAGAACACTATATTCGGACACAGGAGCCTGCAGGGCTGGCGGTCATTGACTGGGAGGACTGGCGGCCTGTGTGGGTGCGTAACTGGCAAGACAAGGATGTGTACCGCCGGTCATCACGCCAGCTGGTAGCCAGTCGCCACCCTGACTGGCCTTCAGACCGAGTAGTCAAGCAGGCACAATACGAGTTTGAATTCGCTGCACGGCAGTTCATGCTGGAGACACTACGCTATGTCAAAGCAGTTCGCCCCCAGCACCTCTGGGGCTTCTACCTCTTTCCCGACTGCTACAATCATGATTATGTGCAGAACTGGGAGAGCTACACAGGCCGCTGCCCTGATGTTGAGGTGGCCCGCAATGACCAGCTGGCCTGGCTATGGGCGGAGAGCACGGCCCTCTTCCCCTCTGTCTACCTGGACGAGACGCTCGCTTCCTCTGCCCATGGCCGCAACTTTGTCAGCTTCCGTGTTCAGGAGGCCCTTCGCGTGGCTCACACCCACCATGCCAATCATGCACTCCCAGTCTATGTCTTCACGCGGCCCACCTATAGCCGGAGGCTCACTGGGCTTAGTGAGGTATGTGCCTTACAGGGCCCTGTCTTTGTCCTCATTCTTTGGGGAACCACTGCATGTTCACGTAACCAGGAACCTACAGCCTCATAGTTTATTGAGTATTCCACATCCCCTCAAATCATTCTTTCTATAACCTTGTGAAAGGGTGACATGATTACCCCCATTTTGCAGATAAGAAAATCGAGGCACAGAGATGCTAAAATAGTTTGCTCAAGGCCAGGCGTGGTGGCTCACACCTGTAATCCTAGCACTCTGGGAGGCTGAGGCGGGCGGATCACTCAAGGTCAGGAGTTTGAAACCAGCCTGAGCAAAAGCAAGACCCTGTCTCTACTAAAAATAGAAAGAAATTAATTGGTCAACTAAAAAAATATATATAGAAAAAATTAGCTGGGCATGGTGGCATATGCCTGTAATCCCAGCTACTCGGGAGGCTGAGACAGAAGGATTGCTTGACCCCAGGAGTTTGAGGTTGCTGTGAGCTAGGCTGACACCACGACACTCTAGCCAGGGCAACAGAGTGAGAGTCTGTCTCAAAAAAAAGTTTGCGGCCGGGCGCTGTGGCTCACGCCTGTAATCCTAGCTCTTGGGAGGCCGAGGCGGGCGGATTGCTCAAGGTCAGGAGTTCAAAACCAGCCTGAGCAAGAGCGAGACCCCGTCTCTACTATAAATAGAAAGAAATCAATTGGCCAACTGATATAAATATAAAAAAAAAAAAAAAAAATTAGCCGGGCATGGTGGCACATGCCTGTAGTCCCAGCTACCAGGGAGGCTGAGGCAGAAGGATCGCTCGAGCCCAGGAGTTTGAGGTTGCTGTGAGCTAGGCTGACGCCACGGCACTCACTCTAGCCTGGGCAACAAAGCGAGACTCTGTCTCAAAAAAAAAAAAAGTTTGCTCAAAGCTTCCCAGCAAATCCAGGCAGAGCAGAGATTTGGTCCCTGCATTCTGACTTGAGTCTATCCTGACAGATACATGCCCTAGGCTCAAGTGTGCCCTTGGCTTGGAAAACTGAGGCCCAAAGTGACAGTGGAAATGGTCTTAAACATTTAAGGAGAAGGTGAAACAGACAGATCCTCTATCTGGAGATGAAAAGCAGAGGGGATCGGGCTGGGGTGTCAGGTGCCGGCCCTGTCTGTTCTTCTCACCTTGAGGTCTCAGTCTTCCCTTTGACCATCCTGTCCCACACAGATGGACCTCATCTCTACCATTGGTGAGAGCGCAGCCCTGGGAGCAGCTGGTGTCATCCTTTGGGGCGACGCAGGATATACCACAAGCACGGTAAGTAAGACCCACCCAACCTGGTGGAACTGAGTCTACAGGGACAGGGAGAGAATTTGGGCCTTTGACTACCAGTGTCTGGTGTGCAAGCCTAGTCTGGCCCCTTTGTCTGTCTCACACCCGGGGCATCACTGGTTCCAAGAGAGAAGGAGGGCACCCCCACCCTGCTCCCAGGAAAGAGGAAATGCTGTGCTGAACAGCTGTTGAGTTCCACCCTTCCCCATCTGCCCAGCTGGGCTCTGGTCTCTGCCGCCACCCCCTTCTCAGCAGGAGCAGAGACTGTGAGGGTTCACTTGACTGTACAAATGTGTGCCCTGTTAGAAAGGTACAGCCACCACAGTGGGGACACAGAATTTCCAGATGGGCCTATGGGCTGAAGCAGCTGACCCTGACCTGTGATTCCTGCCTTCTGTCCCCAGGAGACCTGCCAGTACCTCAAGGACTACCTGACACGGCTGCTGGTCCCCTACATGGTCAATGTATCCTGGGCCACCCAGTATTGCAGCTGGGCCCAGTGCCATGGCCATGGGCGCTGTGTGCGCCGCAACCCCAACACTAATACCTTCCTGCACCTCAGCGCCAACAGCTTCCGCCTAGTGCCTGGACACACACCTGGTGAGCCCCAGCTGCGACCTGTAGGGGAGCTCAGCTGGGCCGACCTTGATCACCTGCAGACACACTTTCGCTGCCAGTGCTACGTGGGCTGGGGTGGCGAGCAATGCCAGTGGGACCGTAGGCGGGCAGCTGGAGGTGCCAGCGGGGCCTGGGCTGAATCCCACCTCGCCAGCCTGCTGGCTTTGGCAGCCCTGGCCTTCACCTGGACCCTGTAGGGGTCTCTTGCCTGACTGCCTAGGAAGCTGGCCTCTGTCACAAGGGCTTTCCTGGGCATGTAGGAGCCTGTAAGGGGTGGACAAACTCTAGTCCACTTGGGGCAGAGCCCCTGGGATGCCTAGCATGACATCTATATCAGCTCTCAGCCCCCTGTTCTAAGGGGGAGGGGAAGTCCCCTGGGAGGTCCCTTCTCTCCTTGCCAGAGGGGAAGGAGGATACAGCTGGGCTGGGGAGGGCCTGGCCCTACTCCCCTGCCCCTGGATAGTTTATTATTATTATTTTGGGGTCTCTTTTGTAAATTAAATATAAAACAACTGCTGCTGTGCTTGGACTTTCTGCATCTTGGCCAGGGCATGTGATTCTAGGATCTTCCATGAGGTTTGAGTGCAGCTCTGTCTCTGTGAAACCCTCTGCTAGGGACTTCCATCTGTATGATGTGTTCACAGGGCCCTGCCACTGGGAGTGGAGGGATCCACATGCCATCCTAACACCAAGGACCTTGCTTTCTCCATATCGATTAGAAGGGAGTTGGGCCCAACCTGGCGTGAGGGACGGTGCTCATGTGCTTCTACCACTTGCCTCTGTACCTCCACTGGGCCAGTACCAGCCTCCTTGCCTCACCAACCCAGGGAGCAAGGAGAAAGTGGATGTTTGACCTTCTCCTCTGCTCCCTGCTCCAAAGGGCAGTAGACTCCACGCATAATCCCCCTCATCAGGGTCACAGCCCTCCCTTCAGTCTGGTGGTGGGGAGGTAGGCAGGGGATTGGGATCTGAATCCTGAGGTTCAATCCCTGTCACTCTATAGTGATCCATGATGAGGCTGGGGGAGGCATTCTGGGAGCAGGGGCATCCTCAAAGGTCAGCTTTGTCCTGGCCATGGGGAGAACACAGCTAGTCCCTGGCTAACCCAGAGGAGAGAAGGGAGTTAACTGATGGGAGTTAACTCAGCCCCTTCCTGCGGCCACCAGACCCACACCCTGGGTGTCCCTGACAGTGATGACTCACCCACACAGCCCTGCCTTCAGGAAACTCTGGCTATGGGGAGACAGACTCAAGAAACAATTGAGGAGATAGCTCAAGGTCAGGAGTTCGAAACCAGCCTGAGCAAGAGCGAGACCGCTTACTATATAGTATGACAAAGAATCAAAAAAATCAAATTAGACCGGCAAGTCGGGGCCTCAATGCCCTACGTAAGTCTTAGCACTCCTGGAGGCAGAGCGGGCGGATTGCTTGAGGTCAGGAGTTCAAAACCAGCCTGAGCAAGAGTGAGACCCTGTCTCTACTATAAATAGAAAGAAATAAATTGGCCAACTGATATCTATAGAAAAAATTAGCCGGGCATGGTGGCGCATGCCTGTAGTCCCAGCTACTCGGGAGGCTGAGGCAGAAGACTGCTAGAGACCAGGAGTTTGAGGTTGCTGTGAGCTAGGCTGACGCCAAGGCACTCTAGCCTGGCAACAGAGTGAGACTCTGTCTCCAAAAAAAAAAAAAAGAAAACAATTGTGGCCGGGCGCGGCTGTAATCCTAGCTCTCTGGGAGGCCGAGGTGGGCGGATTGCTCAAGGTCAGGAGTTCAAAACCAGCCTGAGCAAGAGCGAGACCCCATCTCTACTATACATAGAAATAAATTAATTGGCCAACTGATATGTATATAAAAAAAAATTAGCCGGGCATGGTGGCGCATGCCTGTAGTCCCAGCTACTCGGGAGGCTGAGGCAGAAGGATCGCTGGAGCCCAGGAGTGTGAGGTTGCTGTGAGCTAGGCTGACGCCACGGCACTCACTCTAGCCTGGGCAACAAAGTGAGACCTGTCCTCAAAAAAAAAAAAAAAAAAAAAAGAAACAATTGAATGAGGGGAGATGTCCTGGAGGAGGTGCTTTCTCCATTGAGTTTTGAAAGGTGAGGGGGCAGCTTGATGCTCAGGAACAAAGCCTGGGCAAAGGCTGGAGGAAGCTGGTACGTCGAGTTTGGGGCTAGGGTGTGATTATTTGGGGGCTGCTACAGGCAGAGGCAGGAGGGGCAGCACCAGGCCTGCCTTTGCCTGATGGTGTTGATTTTCATCCTTTCAGTAAACACACTGAGCCACACGTGCCAGTGCAGGGGTGGGTGCTGGGGAGCCACATCAACAAACACCCCTGCCCTTCTGGGGATGACGAAGTTGAGGGAGATGTACACTAGATGCACAGACCAAGTCAGATGCCAGGCGGAGGTGAGGGGTGTTGTGTTTAGGGAAGCAGAGCCTGGATAAACAAGCTCGGCCAAAGTGATGTCAACTCAGGTTGCAGAGAGATTCCTCCTCCGTCCCTATGCTGGTGACAGCAAAGAATGGAGAAGAGGGTGAAGTGGCAGCACCTGGAAGGTGATGTGGTCAATTCACACAGTGGAGGAGGAGATGGACTGGGAAGTGAGGGGCCGTAGTTGCTCATGGCCATGGTGGGGAGAGGCCAGGCTGGAGAGAAGATTCAGTGCTGGCCAACAAGGCCACGAGGTGGTGGATCTCAGCAGAGGGGGAGCAAGGAAGGAGTTGTGACCTGTCTTCCCCACACCTGTGACCTCCCCCACCTGTGACTTCCCCACACAGATGTGGCTCATGCACACCTGTGAGCTACCCCACCCACATCTGTAACCTCCCAACACACAGGTGATCCAGACCCACACAGCTGTGACCTTTCCCTCCTAGCTGTGACCCCTACACACCTAAATCCCACTATGTGCAAAGCTGTGCTCTCCCCATGTGTGACCTCACACAGATGTTACTTTCTCCAAACATCTGTGATCCATAACTGTGACCCTTCCTGCACAGCTGTGACCCCTCCATACAAACCTATGTCCACCTCACACTACTTTCCCCAGGACCCTAGGGAATATACCAGAACTATCTGTGGGTTCTGAAGGTGGGTAGGGAGTAGGGGTGAGGTTATGGGGAGTGAGGTGGCTGAGATGCCTGAGGCATGCACAGCCAGAGAGCAGGCAGGGCTGGGCCATCAAGCCGGACAGACCCCCAGGCATACACACACACTACTCCTACCGATCCAGCAGACCGGCCCTGCAGGAGCAGGCCTGTGGGCAAGGCCCCGGAGTAGGGGGGTGGCCTGCAGACACCCTCAGCTTCCTGCTGTCCACCAGTAGTGCTTCTCCCTTGGACCAACGCCAGCTGGAGAAGAGGTTTCTCAGGGCACCAAGAGGTAGCATGGATCCTCAGTGTCCTCCTTTTGCCTCAGCCCTTGAGAGTTGTGCCAGGTTGTCTGGGCCTACGTGGGCATTACTCTGGGACCCTGCCTCCTGAACAGGATCAGCAGCCACCGCCTCTGTGGCTCAATCCTCTGCAAGGGTCTCATGCTGATGTGCTGACAGTCCCCAGCACCCTGGGCCCTCATTTCCCTTAGCCTTGCCAGCTTCATCCCAGCCAGCCTGGAGGACCAAACCCAGATGGTAGTGAACTGAGTGCTGTTGCTCCGGTGGCTACTGTGCTGGGGATTCAGTAGCTCAGGCTCAGACTTGGCTGCAGACCCGGGAAGCACTTCACCATGGGCAGGGACATGTGCTTCCTTCACCCCACCCTTGCAGGCAAGCCTGGGCCTGAGCACCACGCAGGTCTCAATAACCAGCTTCTCGAGAGAAAAGGTCTGGGTACTAAAATAGAAAAAGGAAAAAAAATAACCAGCTTCTGAATTAGTGAGCAAGTAAAGCCACAAATGAATGAACAAGCATATGCTCACTGATAGACCCGTGATCATACCGGTGGTCACTCAGTCATGGGGTCTCATACTCACAAGACAGCAGGGGCTCACACACCCAGTCCCAGGCACTGTGTCCCACATTCGCACGTACTCACCACTAGAATTTGTGCGGAGGCCCAGATGGCCACTAACTGGGGCTTCACGAAGACACGATCGCTGACCCAGCACATACACGAAGGGTAATGACACAGTCCCGACTTCCTGAATACAGAGCCTTTCAGAAGCAGGTCTCTAAAGCAGGGATCACTTATCCACTAGCATGGGGCCGAGGACCACAATACTTCTAGGGACTCATAAAAATGTTTGAATTTTTTTAATCAGAAGAAAAAATATAAATATATTGATAATGAATATGTAATAGTGAACCCAGTCTGGATTATATTCATCTTTATATCAACATAATTGTAAAATATATTTCAAGATTTCTTGGCTGGGCGCGTGGCTCATGCCTGTAATCCTAGTAGGAGGCTGAGGCGTGAGAATCACTTGAGGCCAGGAGTCCAAGACCAGCCTGAGCTGGTCCCCATCCCTACAAAAAATAGACCCCCATCCCTACAAAAAATAGAAAAATTAGCTGGGCGTGGTGGTGTGCCTCTGTAGTCCCAGCTACTCAGGAAGCTGAGCCAGGAGGATCGCTTGAGCCTAGAACTGGAGGTGACAGTGAGCTGTGGATGCCACTGCACTCTAGCTTGTGGGACAGAATGCGACTCTGTCTCCAAAAAAAAAGATTTCCTTTAAGAAGGAAGGGGTCCCCAAAGGCAAAAGTACCTAGGGCCCACCAATGTCATAATGCAGTCATGTGGGGGAAGGACACTCCCTGAGTACACAGTCCTGAGGCACCCCAGACTCCAGTACCACAAACAGGCCTGCCCAGCTGGATCTGCCACCCCCTCCAGCCCCAGTAAAGCCACAAAGCCCTGTCCTAGTGGCTGAGTGGGAGGGGCTGCTGCTGGCCCAGCCTTACCACCCACCACTGTCCTTTTGCTGGGGGGGCGGATTCCGAGGTAGCTTTGCTGCCTGTCCTGGCCTCCCAATCCAGGGCCCGCCCCTCGGCCCGCCCCTCGGCTGGGTGGGGTGACCTCTACAAAAGCTCAGGATTTCCAGCAGCAGCTTCTTCCTCCGACAGTCTCTGGCCTGGCTGGGGTCAGAGTTGAGGAACGGAATCCAGGAATCCAGCCGGGCCCTGCGTAGGCCTCCACCCTGGGGTCAGGAAGCCTGGAGGATGAGGCCCTTCAGCCCTGAGGTCAGCAGGGACACGTGGGTAGACTGGTGGGTGTACAGGAGGGCTGGACTGACCTGTTCTTAGTCACTGAACATCCTTCCTGGAATGGCTGGCCAGGATTTCTGGTGGAAGAGAGAGGAAAGGCTCCCTTGTCATTTAGGCCAGCCTGTGAGTTGAGGGCCCGGCTCTCAGCCACTCTTCCCAGAACAGCTGTCATGGCTTCAGTGGCCCTTGCGGAATAGGGGTGGGCAAATTTAGCCCTCAATGCAAGGTTTGTGGGAAACAGATGGCAGAGGCCAGACAGCTCAGATATACCTTCCAGTGGCCGTGCTCCCCTCCATGTGTCTCCTCTGCCCGTTGCATCCCTCACCCACTCCAGGTCAGTATTTAACTGAAACCAGAGCAGGGGTGATTAAAGAGCAAGGATCAGAGAGTTCATTGCCTGCTCTCAACTCTGCCTCCCTGGCCAGGTTTCCCTAGACCGGCTCCATACCATGACAGCCCAGCTGTTTTGCATCTGCAACCTCTTCCTGACATCACTCGTCATGGCCCAAGGCTCCAGGGGTCCTGTGGTACCTAACCAGCCCTTCGCCACCATCTGGAACGCAAACACCCAGTCGTGTCTGAAGCATGGCGTGGATGTGGATGTCAGTGTCTTTGATGTGCTAGTCAACCCAGGGCAGACCTCCCATGGCCCTGATGTGACACTTTTCTATAGTTCCCAGCTGGGTACCTACCCCTATTACACGCCTGCTGGAGAGCCTGTGTTTGGAGGCCTGCCCCAGAATGCCAGCCTGGATGCCCACCTGACCCGCACATTCCAGGACATCCAGGCTGCCATGCCTGCACCTGACTTCTCGGGGCTGGCAGTCATCGACTGGGAGGCATGGCGCCCACGCTGGGCCTTCAACTGGGACACCAAAGACATTTACAGGCAGCGCTCAGAGGCACTGGTACAGGCACAGCACCCTGATTGGCCAGCTTCTTGGGTGAAGAAGGCAGCCCGGGAGCAGTTCGAGAGGGCTGCGCAGGCCTGGATGGCAGGCACCCTCCAGTTGGGGTGGGCACTGCGTCCTCTTGGCCTCTGGGGCTTCTATGACTTCCCTGACTGCTACAACAATGACTTTTCAAGCTCCAACTACACCGGCCTATGCCCACCAGACATCAGTGAGGAGAACGACCAGCTAGGATGGCTGTGGCGCCACAGCTATGCCCTCTATCCCAGCATCTATGTGCCTCCAGCACTGGAGGGCACAGGGAAGACACAGATGTATGTGCGACACCGTGTTGGTGAGGCACTCCGTGTGGCTGTGGCTGCCAGGGACCCCAATCTGCCGGTGCTACCCTATGCTCAGATCTTCTATGACATGACGAACCGCTTTCTGCCCGTGGTGAGTCTTCTTTTGTGACCCTGCCCTCCTCGTCAGCATGCCTTGTCAGGCATTAGGTCCAGCAGCTGAGGCCACCACAGCCTTGGACACTTTAGACTTGGGACACTTTCATCCACTCATTCGCACATTGAGCATCTACTTTGTGCCAAGTTCTGTGCTAGGCACAGGGAATTCAGCATTTATCAGAAAAATGTAGGCTGGGTGCAGTGGCTCACACCTGTAGTCCCAGCACTTTGGGAGGCTAAGGCAGGAGGAGTGCTTGAGGCCAGAAGCTTGAGCCTGGGCAACAGAGGACTCTATCTCTAAAAAGAAAAGATGCTGGCCCCCATAGGCTAGAGGGAGGAAAGACAAGCTTGCCTTCTGGCCACCAGGGCCAGAGCAGCCCCAGGTGAAGGTTACAAATTATTTATCCCATTCAATGGTATAATAGCAATCTGCTGCAAGGGGGTGGGGGGAGGCCTCACAGAACTACTTCCTCCTTCCCAGGAGGAGCTGGAGCACAGCCTGGGGGAGAGTGCGGCCCAGGGGGCAGCAGGAGTGGTGCTCTGGGTGAGCTGGGAAAATACAAGAACCAAGGTAAGCTTAGGCCTGAGGAGAGGGTGGGGGTGGGGGGCCATCCAGCTGACTTGGGGGGACCCCAGCTCACTCTTTCTACCTGCAAAGTCCTGACTGGCCAGCAGGTGAGTGTCTCAATGTCCTAGGTGAGTCTGTGCATGGCTGTGGTGTCCCTGACATTCCCCTCCCACCCAGGAATCGTGCCAGGCCATCAAGGAGTACGTGGACACCACACTGGGACCCTTCATCCTGAACGTGACCAGTGGGGCTCGTCTCTGCAGTCAAGCTCTGTGTTCCGGCCATGGCCGCTGTGCCCGCCGCCCCAGCCACCCTGAGGCCCTCCTCATGCTCAACCCTGCCAGTTTCTCCATCCAGCTCACTCCCAGTGGCAGATCCCTGACCCTGCAGGGTGCCCTCTCACTTGAGGATCGGGCACAGATGGCTACAGAGTTTAAATGTCACTGCTACAGTGGCTGGCGGGGACCACAGTGTGAGCAGCAGAGCATGGGGTGATTGGCCACACACTGGGTTGCACACATCAAGCACTAAATGCACTTTGGGCCTTGCCATAGCTTTCTTTCTTTCTTCTTTTTTTTTTTTTTGAGACAGTCTCACTCTGTTGCCCAGGCTAGAGTGCTGTGGTGTCAGCCTCACTCACAGCAACCTCAAACTCCTGGGCTCAAGTGATCCTCCTGCCTCAGCCTCCCCAGTAGCTGGGACTACAGGCACGCCATGCCCAGCTAATTTTTTTTTACATATCTTTTTTAGTTGTCTAGCTAATTTCTTTCTATTTTTTTAGTAGAGACAGGGTCTGCTCTTGCTCAGGCTGGTCTCAAACTCCTGAGCTCAAAGGATCTGCCTGCCTCGGCCTCCCAGAGTGCTAGGATTACAGGTATGAGCCACCGTGCCCAGCCCACAGCTTTCTTAAATACAGGCACAGTCATACAAGTCCTGGTCACAGTCAAGAGTACACTCAGCCATCGCTGTGGCCATATGCCCTGCATACACATGCATGCTTATAGACCCAGATAGTTGCATAAGGAGTTAGGACCACCGGCAGACACCATCCACTCCATGTCCACATGCATCTACTTGATAGGGTCACAGACAATTCCTCCAGACTCACTGAACCAGGCTTTGACTACAACAATCACAAAAGCTGACATTTGAGCGCCTATTCTTTGCCCAGCCCCGTGCTAGGCATTTTAAGTGGACTAACTCACTCAATTCTCACGAGGCTATATGAGGAAACCGAGGCAATCACAAGGAGAGTAAGCACTTAACCCAAGGTTGCACAAGAAAAGGGAGAAGCTGAGATTCAAACCCAGGCTGCTGGCTCCAGAGGTAGAGCCCTTGTGCTCCTACTGGGTGTTAATAATAACCAGCCCTGCACGACCCCTGAATCCACTGGCAGGCACCTACCCAGCAAATAAAGCAGTCATGATTTACTTAGCTGTTTATTGACTGCCTAAAATGTCCAGGCCCTGGTATCCAGAGGGCACAGGAAAGGATCCTCTCTCCCACCCAGGTCGGATGTCTGAGGACCGCTGCTTCCCAGGGTGGGGCCCAATTTCAGGAGAAAGCTCCACGTGGTCTGACCGTTTCCAGACTGCACCGGTGCCGGAGGCCGGCGGGAGCTGAAGCGAGGCCGTCTGAGCCTGCGCGGGGCTAGGCGGAAGCGGACCGGCGGGAGGAGCGGTTTGCGCCGGGCCGGGGCGGGGCCTCCGCGGAGCCGAGTAGAGGCGGGACCCGAGCCAGGGGCGAGACCGGTATGGGGCTGGGTAGTGGGGAGGCGAAGCCACCCGCACATGCGAGGCGGCTCAGTCGGAGAGGGAGGGGCAGAGACTGAGTCTGCGCCGGTCAGTCTTGTGACGCTCAGAACCAGGGGCGGGGCCTAAGCGGCGGCGCGCGCAAGCCGGGGCGGGGCCTGGCCGCCCGGGTAGATTTAGGACTCGGTGGTGCGCCGCTGGCCGCGACCGCTGCAGTACGTCCGCCACACCGCTGGGGGGCCGGCGCTGGCTGACTGAGGAGTCCGAGCCAGAAGCAGAGAGAGATACCGAGCCCGGCGGAGCGAGGACGCAGAACTTCCTAGAGGCCGGCGTCAACATGTCAGTACACCCTTCCCCACGCGCTGTCTGTGCGTCCTCCCCGCGTGTACAGTCCCCAAGTGCCCATGCAGACTTGCATTCCCTCCCTGCGTCGGCCGTTCCCACCCAGAGCATGCCGAGCCACGCCTACCCACAAGTCAAGATTTCGAAGCCCCATCCCCAAAAGCTCCACGGCCTGTGTCCCACTAGGGGGGAGGAGGACACCAAGGCACGAGAGACACGGGACAGCCCCTCTCTGAGCACCCGGAGCCTCGCCACGCCCCTATTGGGTGGGTCGGCACTGAAGGGGTTAAGCCGGCCGGGCAGCCCTGGGGCTCCCTGCCTAGGGGCGGATCTTGGGGCTTCCTCCCTTCAGACGTAGAGGTGCGCTGATGCAGGTGAGGGGCGTATAGCTCTGTGAATGGGATGTGGTGTGAGGGGAGGGGGTTGCCTGTTACTGACCAGTGTTGAATGGGCCTGATAAGGGGAGGTGAGGAAGGGGACCTAGGAGGCCCCCTCTGGAGCAGGTGAGCAGAGGGGTAGGACCCAGCTGCCCACCCACCACAAAAATTCCCCCCACCCCTGGGCATAGACCCTTCTGCCAGCAAGACCTTGGTTAAGGTGGGCAAACAGTGGGGTTTGGGTGCAGGAGGCCTGGGCCCCCAACCTGGTGGCCGTTGGACACCCTGTGGATATAGGAAGGAAGCTGTGGTCTTTATCTAGGGTGGCTGTGAAACTCAGGCCAGTAGGGAACCAGGCCTGCAAAGGCGACACTGCTGTGTGGCTGGGCCAGGCCTAGTGCTGGTGCCGCTGGGGCCCCATCTGAGGGGACAGTTGGGTCCATACTCAAAGTGTCTGAGGTGGGAGAATTGCATACTGGGCATGGGCTCTGTGCTTCAGGCAGAGAAGGCAGTCAAAGGAGGGGAAAACTGAGCCTGCTGGGTGGGTAAGGGGGGCTCCAGTACTGATGAGGTGGTGGGCATGGTCCAGCTGGTTGAAAAGGCCAGCAGCTGGAGGAGAGTTGAAATGTAGGGAGAAGAAGGGGAACTTCTGGGGCCAGTGTTTCCTCTGAAGGGAAGCTTGGGTGGGTTTAAACAGGGAATGTGTTGTCTGGTTTGCATGTTCTTTCCGAGGCCATAGTGATGGACTACTAGAGACAGAATGGCCAACAAGTAAGCTGGGTTGGCTGTCTTGGCACACAGTGAGATCCTGGGGAGGACAACTTTGTAGCCAGAGCAGGCTGGGGCCAGGACTCCTGGGTTCTGCTCCAGCCTTCAGCAGCTTATTGTCGCCCTCAGCCTCTCTCCAACGTGGGGCAGGACACCTGGATCCATCTCCCCTGCTCTCCCCTATTGCTGGTATAGGGTATGGGTTTCTTCCAGGTCACCTGTGCCATCAGATGAGTGTGGGACAAGGTACAACCCACCACTCACCAGTTTCAGTATGCCCCCTTGTGCTCTGCTAGCCTTCCCTGCCCCAACCCATCTTCCCTCCTGGCACAGCCCACCATGGCTGTTCTCTACAGGAGGAGAGCCCTTGTGGTCTGAGGAGATGTCACTGCCTGGAGACTGTGGTTTTAACCTCCAGCCTGGCGCTGAGCCACCTGCAACCTAGTAGGAGGTGACCTTGGCTCCTAGCCTGACTCATCTGAGCCTGGATCCTACGTGTAGGCAAGAGCCGACTCTGAGCCCTGGCCCAGCCAAGCTGACCCCTGCCCTAGCGCCTACGCACTGGATGGAGGTGATCCTCAATGCCAGCCCAGCTGAGCTGCCTCTGGATCTGGCATGCCAACCAGAGTTGACCCTGAGATCCAGCCTGATCAAGTTAACCCTGGATCCCACACATCAGCCAGAGCTGACCCTGAGCCCCCAGCTAGCTGAGCTGACCCTGGATTCCACACGCCAACCAGAGATGACCCTCAGACCCGGCCTGGCTGAGCTTAACCTGGATCCTGAACCCCAGCCAGAGGAGACCCCAGCCCCCAACCTGGCTGAGTTGACCCTGGAGCCTGTGCACTGCCGACCTGAGCTCTTGGATGCTTGTGCCGACCTCATCAATGAGCAATGGCCCCGCAGCCGCGCCTCCCGCCTACACTCCTTGGGCCAGTCCTCAGATGCCTTCCCCCTCTGCCTGATGCTGCTGAGCGCCCCACACATGCCCAAAGCAGCACCCATTGTGGTGGGCCATGCCCGCCTCTCACGGGTGCTGGACAGGCCCCAGAGCCTTTTAGTGGAGACAGTGGTGGTGGCCCGGGCCCTCAGGGGCCGTGGCTTTGGCCGCCGACTCATGGAAGGCCTAGAGGTTTTTGCTCGGGCCCGGGGGTTCCGCAGGCTACACCTCACCACCCATGACCAGATGCAATTCTATGCCCACCTGGGCTACCGGCTGGGTGAGCCTGTGCAGGGCCTGGTCTTCACCAGCCGACGGCTGCCCACCACCCTGCTCAGTGCCTTCCCCAGGGTCCCCTCTTCCCGGCCACCCTACAAGGCCCCAAACCTGATGGCCCAAGTTCCCCCAAGGGGCCCCAAGGGGCCTCCATTGCCACCACCACCTCCCCTGCCTGAGCCCCTGACCACCTCACCCCCAACTCCATCAGGGAACTGTCCAAAAAACCTGCTGGAAACACAATACAAAGACCTGAGGGGATGCCCCATATTCTGGATGGAGAAGGACATCTGAAGGCCACCCAGGGCAAGGGACTGCTATTCTGGGTCAGTGGACTGTGTGGGACAGTACTGGCCTCAGCCCACTGGCCATACCTCAGCCCCTAGCCACTGGGGGGCAGCTTTAGCCTGGGCATGTTTCCTGGGTACCAGTGGGGCCAGGAAGTGCCTCCATAGCTCTGGCTCAGAGCCATCAGTGTGGCTGAATAAAGGCTTCTGTTGGGTGTGGCCATGACAGTTTATTTGTTGACTCCCACCCTCATCTCTCAGGTCCCCTATTCCTGCAAAAGCCCCAGATCTACCTTGGCCCTGGGGCCACTGATGAGAGGACACCTGTCTTTTGCCCCTCTCACCCTGCTAGGCCCAGGGGACTGAGTGGCTGTTCTCTTCCCTGTTCACTCATTACCATTCCCTGAGCACCTTGACACTGTGTCAAGCTCTGGTTGGGAGTAGGCAGTGGTGAACTAGACAGGTAGGGTCTCCACCCAAAGGGACAGATAGGGAGACAAATAGGCATATGATACAAGGGAGGTACAAAGGCTTAAGGAACCCAAATGCCTTCACTCTACCTAGGGATCCAGGTGACCTCCCAGGGTAGGTGATGTCATAACAGAGACTTGAGTGCTGAGTAGGAACTAAGCCAGGCAGTTAGTTGGGAGATGGGAGCTGAGTATTCTTGGGGCAGGGAACAAGATGGACAGAGGAAAGAAGGGGACTTGTGACAGCTGTGGGTGGGGGAGTTATCAGAGGACACAGCAGTATTTTTACAGATTGAGAACATAGGAGGGAAGCTGTTGAGATGTGGCTGCTCTGAGA